TGGTAAGTCCCGTAGAGTATATAATAGTATCTACTCATATAATATGTAATAGAATCTAACCATATAGGATCTATGTAATTGTATCTATATACAAGTATCCATGTAATAGTATCTCTACGTACAGCACATATGTAATCGTATCTAAGTAAAAGTATCCCTGTAATAGTATCTTTACAAACAGCATGTATTCGTATAGACTCATGAATGAACTGACTCTTGTGTGGATTCCTTGTACTAGGAGTGGCAAGTAGTATCTCCTAACTATACCTATTATAGTTATTAGTAATGTACGAGTATAATCGGAAGTATACCTTTGCTACCCAGAGGTACTGAACTGACGCATGGAACTTTTATGACCATATATGTATACATGATATATAGGCATGCATTTGACAAATAAAAGTATAAAAGAAGTTTTTGTAAGACCTTTGAAAAGTTTGATAACTAAGAAAAGATGACTTGATATCAGTTTATGAAACAATTTGAAAACGGTTTGATAAGACAGTTTAAGTGAAACACAGCTGTAACAGATTTTGAAAGGAAGTATACAGAGTGTAAGACAGTTTGATAAAGAGATTTAAACTAGTAAAAACGTTTTAGAAAACCATTTAAAGTATTATATTTGGTAAAACAGATAAAAGTGTAGTAAATCCTTTTGCATGCGGGTTATGAATCACATCTGTTTGATATGATAACTAGCATGATTCAACTTGTATTCCCCCCCCCCCATAAAAGCATTTAAAAACATTTAAAAGGTTAATTAAGGGGGTATGAACTCACTTGATAGATTGAAGAAGGTGAGACGAAAAACCGGGCAGAACTTGGACAGGAAAAGTTGATTTTCTCGGGATTCTCGGGAGCGTAAATCTTCCTTCGGGGCTTTGGGTATGAAAACCGGGGCTTCGGGATATTCTATGCACGCAAAACGAGGTAAAACGCAAGAAAAAGGAGAGAAAATGAGCAAAATGCCCGGAACCCTCGCAATTCTATTTATAGTGGCTGGAACCCTCGTGTACGCGGGGCGTACTAGCGAGTGTACGCTACGCGTACGCGACGTCATGCATGACCGCATCCTCGGACGAAGCATCGGGGCGACGTGGACCAACCGGAGTCTAGCATCCGAGTACGCTGGGCGTACGAGGGTACGCTGGGCGTAAATCGTCTCGGTGTGTGTGCCACGAACTTGTAAATTCCGTAACTTTCGCATACGAACTCCGATTTTTACGTTCTTTATATCCACGCGAAGGTGAGAAAATACTCTACAACTTTCATTTAGACTTCGTCGGCTAGTTTTTACTTTATTTTTAATAATATTTTATTTAATAGGCCGGGACATGATAATTCCGTTAAAAATACGTAACTTCGTCATCCGATGTCCGTTTTTGTCAGACTTTTCGCCGTTGCACTACTATTGCTGAGATCTTCAATTCTCATTTAGGTTGTTTCGGCTAGAAGTCTCTCGATCTCTATTTCGAGTTTTTAGCTGTCTACTGCTATATCCGGATCTTGGAAAATCATAACTTCCTCATACGAAGTCAGATTTGGGCGTTCTTTTTACGCATGCTCACGGTTTAACGATATCTACGACTTTCGTTCAGACACCTAAGGCTAATAATTATTGTATTGAAACTTCATGTTTTACGTTTATCAGCATTGCCGGTTTTGTCGGGAATCTTAGAATGGTCATAACTCCTTCGTTATAACTCGGATTTTAGGGTTCTTTATATTTTTGGAAACCTTATCATGATATCCATCACATAAGGTACTAAAACGGAGCTTTTTGAACGCTTCATTTTCGATGATATTCTTATTAACTTAAAACAGGTTACGAGGTTCGACTGGAATTCGTTACATTACCTTGAAATTTCAGGTTGTCACACATCCAATTCAGTTTTCATCGCCTTGACCCAATTTTCATCTTTTGTAGCCATGGAATATGATGTGGGTTCATTGACATCTTGTAAGAATAAGAGCTAGTCACAATCATTATAAACATCAGTTAACAAACGGTACCTTTCCGGAGTTTCTCTTCCTGTTGAGTTTGTTAAAGAAGCACACGAACCATCCGAGCTACCTGGTTCCACGGGTGTAGAAAAAGGTTATGGGGTTGACTGCACCTGTTCGTGTGAGTGTGTTTGGATAAAGTCTTCAGTTATGCTTTCAAAGTGCAATGGTGTGGAAGATTGATTTTCTGATTCAACATCGTGCATTGGTGAGTTGTACTCTTCAAGAACAAAAGTAGCTCCTTGGGTAGTCTGGTACTCAACTGTTTCTACCCACGACCAGCATCTATCTTCTTCAAACTTTACATCTCTACTTACATATATTTTTCCGGTATTAGGATCGAGTAATCTATAGGCTTTACTTCCTTGTTCACAACCTAGATGCACCAGTTTTATGCTACGATTATCAAGTTTCTGTAAGTTACTGATTGCAACCCTCGTGTGAGCAATACACCCGAAAACTCTCAAGTGATCCAGGTTGGGCTTTCTTCCTGACCATGCCTCATATGGGGTTATATCTTTGAGTGCCTTTGTTGACACTCGGTTGAGCACGTAGACGACATGTCGTATAGCTTCACCCCATAAGGTTCCCGGAACACTCATGATTTTTAAGATGCTCCTCGCCATTTCAACCACGGTACGGTTTCGTCTCTCCACGACACCATTTTGTTGCGGAGAATATGGTGCTGTGAAATGACGTTTTAGACCAGTTTCTTCACAGTACGTAGTAAATTGCTTCGAGAGGAATTCCCCCCCACGATCAGATCTAAACGTCTTGAGTTTCACTCCGGTTTCATTTTCAACAAGCACACGAAATTTTTTGAAGATACCAAAAGTCTCATCTTTTGTTTTTAGCATATACACCCACATGACATGGCTATAATCATCAACAAGGAGAAAAAAATATTGATTACCAGAAGGCGTGGGTGGTGAGATGGGACCACATAGGTCGCCATGCACAAGCTCAAGTATTCTCTCGGCTCTATAGTTTGCGTATGTTGGGTAAGGTTTTCGTGTTTGCTTCCCGACTAAACATCCTTCACAGAGTTGAGTGGGGTGTTGTAAACCAGTAACCATTTCACTGTCATACATTTGTTTCATAGCGGGGAAGTTTACATGGCCGAGGCGTGCATGCCAAATCCATTCCGGTTTGCTAATACTTCCCATCAAACAAACTGGTTCCACTTCTTTCAAAACTATCGTGTACAACCTGTTCAATGATTATCTTACTTTCATGAGTAACTTACCAGATCTATCGTGAATCCATAAGAAAGAACCAAGCATTAGAATTTTGTCACCATCTTGTGCAAGTTGTCCCAAGCTTATGATATTATTACATAAACTTGGGATATAGTACACCTGTTGTAACAAACGCTGCTCGCCATTTTTACATTGAAACAATATAGACCCCATGCCTTCTATCCGAACCTTTGATCCATCTCCGAATTTCACATATCCCCGAATGGTCTTATCAAGATTTCTAAATTTTTCTTGTTGCCCAGTCATATGATTGCTTGCCTCATTATCCAGGTACCAAATATTGGACCTGTTGGGTTCATCACCTGTAGATTTTAACTTTGGAGCTATATTTTTCTCATTCAATAATACCTCCTCATGCGCTTCAAAGAGTTGTACATTGACATTAACAGTGTCGGCTCGTCATCGTCTTCATCCTTGGTTAGATTTGCCTCCTTGGTTAGATTTGCCTCCTAATTTCTTTCACGCCTTGGATTTTTACACTCCGAGGCATAATGACCGATATCTTGACAGTTGTAGCATTGTACCATACTTTTATCACGAGCACCAAATGAATTTCGACCTCCTCCTGGGTTATGGTGGACACCACCGCCCCTCCGACCTCCTCGGTTATTGTTACCGCCTGATCTTCCACTGCCACGACCACGAGATTCTAGCCACTCCTGATATGTTAGTAATAACTCATGTCCATCCTCACCTTGTTTCTTAGATCTATCAAGCCACTCCTGATGAGTTAGCAACAACTTCTTCTCATCATTATCACTCTGACCGCGTACCCGCTCTTCATGCGCTTTCAATCTCCCGATTACTTCTTCGACGATCATTATTTCCATGTCTGCGAATTGCTCAATCGTTGAGGCAATCTGCACAAACTTAGACGGAACTGCCCGTAATAGCTTCTTTACCACGTAGGCTTCCTCAACCTTATCTCCCAAGGCTCGAATATTACTAACTATGTTGGTGATTTTTGCCGAAAAATCATCCACAGTTTCTGTCTCCTTCATAGTCAAAATCTCGAACTCCGCCTTTAAGGTTTGAACCTTAGCTGTCTTCACACGATCAGCACCCATTTAAATTGTTTTGAGGGTGTCCCAAGTCTCCTTCGATGTCTGCTTCTCTGCTAACTACAGGACCATGTCTTCGGGAATGGATTGGTAGATGGCAGCCATTGCCATCTTATCTTTCTTCACACCAACAGGGTTCTGGGGGTTCTTAGGTTCAATTGCTTCCCATACTTCTTGGGCTTGCATAAAAACCTTCATCTTTATTGCCCAAACTGCATAGTTGCTTCTCGTCAACATCGGGTAATGGATTCCATATGAGCCGTCTTTTTTCTGTCCATCCATGTCGTTGATGTTGCTTAGTAACCTGGTATTGCTCTGATACCAAGTGTAAATCAGAACCCTGTGTTTCTTTCTGCAGAAACACTAAACACAAGAGATAGAACAAACAGTGGAAGAGATGAATACAATGGAGAATGGTATTTTGGGAAATTTTTCTGCTGGGGTTTTTATTAACTCTTCAAAATAAAAAAAACACACACACGTAAACATCTAAATAACTCCTATTTATACTAGAAACAAAGAACTAACTAACTAGGTTTATCTGCTACCAAATTTGCAGGAAAAGATAATGACTCAAAATTCAAATCAAAATGGATATGAGTTTCAAACTTCTGGATTATTCCAACATATATAACCCCCTACAAATTCACATACTGAACAACCTCCAGAAACCAAAATGTCAGACTACTTGTCTTTTGAACTTCAAGTGGAAATCATTAAAAGACTTCCAGTTAAGCCATTGCTTCAATTTAGATCTGTCTCAAAACGATGGAAGACTTTGATGGACAGTTCTAAGTTTATTGTTGTTCAAACCGCTGGCCAGACTCAGTTAAACCATCTTCTTGTATGGTATGAAGATTGCTATGTAGATCTTGGAAAGACTGGGAAAACAATTGTTTCATTTGTTAATGATGAAACTTTAGAGTCAATTTTTACTCGCCAGGAGATTGATCCGACTACTCTTGGGCTTGCTAAACATTACAAGGATTTACGAGTGGTTGGCAGCTCTAAGTGATTGTTGTGCTTGTACGATTTTGAGCGAGATCATTCTTGTTATAAATCTGCAACAGCGATGGTTGTTCTTTGGAATCATTCTATTAGAAAATCCATTGGTGTTGTTGTTCCTCGTGTGTCAGGGTGGGGATTTCGTCATATTGTTCTTGGTTTTGGGGTTTGTCCTATCACCAGTGACCCTATGATTGTCAAGATTACAATTGTTAGCATGGAAATGAGAAATAGTATTGGCGTCCATTGGGCAGTTGAAGTTTATACATTAAGCACAGGTTGTTGGAGAATTCCTACGAGCAAACTGCCTGATAAACCGGTTACAGTTAGATGGAATCCGGTTGTTATAGATAAGTTTATTTATTGGTTTGCTTTTCATGGGATTGAGGAATTTGTTAAATATGGGGTAGATGCAAATAAGCTGATTTTGTCATTTGATATGACTACTCAAGAATTTACTCTGATAGACTTACCAAACTGTTTTGCACATCAATCTTCTATCGAATTTTCCATTTCTAAGTTAAAGGGGTCACTTGTGCTGCTTGAATACAGTACAAACAATGAGAAACAAGACTGTGTCATATGGGTGATGAATAATGGTGTTCCGAACTTGTTTTCAAAGTTGTTTGCCATTAACGCACCATATGCATCTATAAAGATTTTGGGATTTATGAAGAATGGTGGTCCCATGATGGAAACACAAGATGAATTTGGAGAACCAGCTGCATTTGTATTCTATGATCTTTGTTCAAAAGACTTCAATCATACTGCTATTTACGCAAAAGGTGGTTCATTTTTTGTTGACTCATACATGGAAACCCTGCTTTTGCTTGATTACCCAGATTCTAGTGTTTTTTCTATCACTAGCTGAAGACAAGCCGGTGGCTGCATTGAAAAAGCTGGAGCAAATAAGCAATCCGTTTATGAGCAGCCAAGAAAGATAATAGTATTCTATTTCAGGAGGAAGAATCCAAGCTTCTAAACTAGTAGCTAGTAACATTTTTCTTTTTTGGTACCATTTTCTCAGTGTGTTAATGTTGAAGTTAAATTCCAGGTTTTAATTGATCATATGGGTTACCATGCATCGATATGACAATTCTACAATAAATGCAACTTAATATTTTATTTATGATCTTACAGTTCAGAAGTTTATATGCAACTTCATAGTTTGTACCTGTTCGTCAGTTCCGTTCACAGATCCATCATCCTTTTGTTAACGTACCTTAGGCTATCCATTATGCCCACCACTAACTAATATAGTGGTGGGTGCTACATCTTCACTACTAACCACCACCAAACATATGGGATATCTACCACTAAACAGATCACTCAACCTGATTTTTTTAAATATATTTAAATGAAAAATACATAAAAATCATATTTTTTCTTAAATACTAGTTTTTCATTAGTTTATAACACCAAATTACATTAAATAAAACTACATTAATTAAAATAAGAAAAATAAAAATAACATTAAAAATAAAAGTTATAGTAATTAAAATAAAAAAAATAAAAATAACATTAAAAATTAAAAACCTAAAAAATACCAAACTTTTGATTTGTATTTTAAGCAAGATTATTCCATTTTAGTGAATTCTTCAACTTTTGCCAAGCTTTGACATGTCCAAAATGTTTATGATTTGTGTTTTCATATTGCTCCATGGCCAAATTAATCGGATCGATATATGCTTCGTGTACGTTATTTATAACAAAGTTATAAATTTCATTTAACTCAGAACATTTGACCCTCATATCGTGGCACTTCGAGCATATTTCTTCAACATTTCGAATTGCACAACTCATTAAACCATGGAAAACACTTTCAATGCTTGTGCTAATTTCTCTTCTTCTTCTTCTGACCATTTCTTATTTTTAGGATGCATGGTTTTTAAAAGAACAAACAAAAAAAAAGGTATGATGACTAAAGGGAGAAGAAATGTGTGAAAATTAAGAAGATGAGTGGTAATATTTGTAGGTAAATATTGAAGGAAAAAAAAAAGAAATTGAAAGTAGTTGTTATAGGAGGTCAAACGAGGTTTAAAGGAAGAAATGAATTGATTGGGTGTTTGAAATCATTGTTCGGAGCACGAAGGGCCACAACCACGAGCCACCACGAGCCACCGGGATGGTGTGCACACTTGTGGTTCGTGGCCACCTAGACCGCGACCTAGTTTGTGGCCAGCATACTGGAAGGTCTTATGCAAATCTTGTAGATGATTGACTGTTGTGATGGTTTTCTCCATTGGGTTTGCTGTAATTTTCTGATAAAAAATCTTTCATATATACATATTTTTGCTCTTAGCGTTGTTGCTAACTTGTTATGTTGATTATAGTAGGTGTAAGACATGTGTACTACACCGGTTTATTAAAATTAAAAGTTTAATATAAAATTCTAAGCATTACATATTCTTTAAACTAATACTTTTATATAAATAAAAATGATATAATGAATAAAGTAACTAATTCAATATATTCTAGCTAGGAGATTTGAAATAGGAAAGAAAAGAAAATGGTTGTTGAGCATTTATTCTGGAATTTAATAGAATGATTCACCTTACATATATAAATCGTTAGTAAAATATGGATTTTAAGTTTAAGAAAACGGAAAATACAAGAAAATGACAAGTGGAAAATAATAATTAAAAAAAATCTTAGAAAATGACACATGTCAAATTCAATAAGAACATGACATTTGGCAAAAATGATTTTCATTAATTAGGTTAGATATATATATTTGACTTTTTGCTATAATGCCTCTAGCTCTTTACAGACTCTGTGCCTAAAATAATAAATAGGGAAAATGACACAAACGACCTACGAAGTTTTTAGGTTTAATCTTTTTAATCCCTAAAATATTTTGGTTGCTTTATGGGGGTATAAATTGAGTCATGACCTGCACTTTTAGTCCCTTTCACCTCTAACCACCGGTGCAGATAGCCACATGTAAAATCTTAACACAACTTAACAATAACATGACATTTACTAATTACATGGCAACCTTCTTGGAAAGATAAATTATTTCTTGAAATTTATTCATTTGTTCTTCAACATAACATTCACATATCATCATATTTCCTATTCATCCATTCTCACTGTCGATCTACATATGTATTTATTCTTAATAATCGATTTATCTCAAACATTTTATTATCATCACCGATTTCAGTTGTTGGTTTAATCTATTTAGTGACGACGAATTTTAGGGTTTTTCTTCGTCATCCTGTTCTTCACTCTACCATGTTTGATCCGAAAATAGTGTAGTTGTTCTTGTGTTGTAAAGGTGGATTTAAAATTGAAGGAGTTGCGAGTTTTGTTGGTTTTCGGTAAGATGAAGATGTATCGAAACTGGAAATTTCGGTTGGATAACGATTCAAAATTAAGTGTCATTTTTCATGGGTTTCATCAAGTAACTAATTTTCATAATGATTGTTTCAGATGACAGTTTATGTTTAGGTCATGGCTTTGAATCTAGGTAAATTATCAAATTTGTGTTGTCAATGGGTTTGAATGATATATGGGTTTATAGATATCGACAAGTTGGGGTATGTAGCCTGCACCTTTTTCGAGCTTCCATTTTATTTTGCAAATTTTCGACTTCCATCCAGGATGAACGCAATGCATTATAGGATTGGACCATATGAAATCACTCTGAAACAAGAACCGTGCTTTGAATCTGGGTAAATGATCAAATTTGGGTTGTCAATGGGTTTGAATGATATATGGGTTTACAGATATCGACAAAGTTGGTGTATGTGGCCTGCACCTTTTTCAAGCTTCCATTTTATTTTGAAAATCCTCGATTTCCATCCATGATGAATGCGATGTTGTATGGTTTGAATTATGTAGTGAGGTTTCGAAGTACATTTAGGCTTGGGTAGTGTCGAATGTCGAGGTCATGTATTTCGAATGTACGTATTACATAACGCATTTTAGAGGTCGAAGCGTTAATGTTCAGCTCTTATGTTTTTTTGTACGTGTCTGTATCTCTCTATAAATAGGGAAAGTATAGGGGTCGAGAGTACTTTTTAAGAGCTTGAGTGCTTGTACTCTTTAGTGTTCCTGTACTCTTTCAGACATAATCAAAGTGCCAAATAGGTTCTATGTACATCTTTGATCTTAACGCCTTCAGTTCTTGATTTCATTCATAATACCTAATTCAAACGAACTTCATTTGGTATCAGAGCACGATACTGTCACACCCCCAAACCGGAAGGTCGGAAACGTCGGGGGTGGATGACGTCATGTACAGTATCACAACAATTGAAAAATAGTTATCAAAGCAACAAAAACCATTGTATTGATAACATAGTATTTACATTGTATTCAAAACATCAATTGTTTAACATTAATACTACAACAAAAGATAAGACGAGATACTTCGATACTCCGTCTTCGAAATGCCCGAGATAGTACATGTCTACTAACTTTCCTGAGAATACAAGTGTTTTGAAAAAGTGTGTCAACATTTAAGTTGGTGAGCTCATAAGTATTTTGTTGGAAAAGTGTGTTCTTTGTTATTGAAAACGTTAATGTGCTCTTCCTGAAAATCCAGTATTTTCTTAGTAAATAAGTCATAGTCTTAGTACTTTTATACCAAAAAGTATAAGTTTCGTTTGTTTATAGTTTGTGATTCGAGGTTTTGATTCAAGTAATTGGTCTGAACCGTACTGTTACCTCTTATGATTGCTTAGTGTATGCAAATTATATATAATTAAAATCGAACGAACAGTCGATTGGGTGATTATGCCCTAATCCCACAACCAAACAAGGAATAGGAAGAAAGACAGAATTCACACATTCCACTGCCTCTCGGATCTTCATTGTATATAACCCTAACATAAACATAAAGTAATCATAGACTTTAGCAAAAAGAATACTCGATATGTGTTTTTTCTGAAATCCTATTTGTAACATATTAGTAAATAATATAATGTATTTCTTTTCGTGTAACTGTGTGTAAGTCTAGAAATTTTATACTTGCAAATAATGTAATATTGTTTTATTATTTAAATAAAACCCTTGAAAATATATTTGCCCTGAAATCCAAATGTAAAGTTAATATTCAAATAAAATTATTTGAAAATATATTAATCATAAATATGTCGTTGTTTTCTCCTTGTGAGTTCTTATAACCATACTAACCCGGTTGGCCTGATCGTGACGTTCTTCAGGCATCGAAATGTTAATGACATTTGTCACCCCAAGCCTGCCGGCCTGACTTTCGCTAACAGTCGAGGTGTGGGATTGTCAGTCCAAAATAGATCTATACACAAATATCTCGCTCTCCCTACAAGAGATTCTGGTTACAAGGTAAGACTTTTACCAGTACTTAGATAAGTACACGAAGACGTCTCACAAATTGCTTCAATGTTTTTACGAGTAACAACTGAAAATCCTTTTAGTTTATAACATGTAACTTTGTAAAAATAGTTCGTTTATTCCATAAACTATAGCTATTATAGTTTATAAGTTTGTTTCCGTGTTGTAACTTGAACTTTGTAAATTGGTATCTTTGTTCCATAAACTATACCTATTATAGTTTATAAGTTTGTTTCCATGTTGTGACGTGAACTTTGTAAAATAGTATATTTGTTCCATAAACTATACCTATTATAGTTTATAAGTTTTTTTTCGTGTTGTGGCCAGAACTTGGTAAAATAGTATATTTGTTCCATAAACTATACATATTATAGTTTATAGGTTTGTTTTCGTGTTGTGTGAAAATCGTTGCATCTTAACATGTTCCGTAAACTATATTTATATAGTTTATCATAGGACTCAAGTTATACTTAATAACTGTATATATATATATATATATATATATATATATATATATATATATATATATATATATATATATATATATATTTA